TATAGTTTTCTCGCAAAAAACTAAAGAAAAATATGTCCCAAAATTAAAATTATTTAATGAAAATGTTCCAATTAAAGATAAAGTCAAATATCTTAGTATGATTGTAGATAGAAAAATTAAATTTAAAAGTCACATAGAAGAAGCAAGAAACAAAACATTTAAAGTTATAAGACAATTATATTCTCTATTATGTTGCAAAAGCAGTATGAGTATAAATAACAAAAAACTTATATATAAAATGATTATATTGCCAGGCATGTTATATGCAGTTCCCATTTGGGGTGGTACTTTTAAAACATATATTCAAAAACTACAATTGATACAAAATAAATGTCTTCGCATGATCCTAAAAGCGAAAAAAGGAACAAAAATATCACTATTGCATAAGAAATTAGAAATAGATAGCATTAAGAAAACAATATTTAAGTTAACAAAAAACTTTTATAGTAATTTAGATAGTCTTAAGAGTTTAGAAAATATATGTAAAATTAAGTATAATGAAGCTCCTTTTAAAATAAAATGTAGATTACCCAACCATTTGTTACAAACCACAAATTAAGATTAAATATATTAAAATTGTAAATATAGTTGTAAGTTGTAAATATGTAAATAATATCTAAAACTAGTTTAAGTCAACAAGCTAAGTAGGTTTTCAAAAATTTTCCTGTTTCATTTATTTAAAATTTTCCTTAAAAATTTATGTTTAATAAATAAATAAAATAATATTTTTTTTTATACATGGATAAGTCGCACAAATAGGAGCCATAGGTTAAGTTTCATTATGTTAATGCAAATGTTATAACTTTTGTAAAACTTTAATTGATATTAATAAACAAATTCTAATTCTAATTCTAAAAAAAAATTTCGCTCCTAGTATTCAGTCTGTACTTGCATCAAGACTCCATCCACTGTCGTCAAAAATCGGGATTTTCTTCCTTTTGGAAAACGAAAGTTGACGGTTCAATTTTCGTCGTTGAACCTTTTTCTTGGAGGAAGAGGAATCCAAAAGTCGGAACATCTTTCAGTCGTTAACTTTAATTTTTCGATTTGTGAAGCTCGCAAATCGAGGCTGGCTTGTGGAGTTGGACGATATAAGACTTCAATTGAAAAAAGTCGGCTTTTCCACTCTTCCGCATTGTTGACTAAGACGACATCCTTCTCGACAATAAATGTATATGAGGGTGATGTTTCCTCCATGGGTAGCGGACTATTTACAATTGTGGGCACATATTTGTCAGCGTCGTCGACAAATTCGGACAATGCAGCGTATGCCTCCTCAAATTCTTCACGTTCGCGAAAATAAGTCTCCTGCACATCCTGTTCTAAGAACATCGTTTCCGGATTGAATTTCTCGAAGGAGTCTGGTGATGGTTTGCGCTGCGTCGATGTACTAACAGTAATTTTTTTTGAGGGTATGAAATTACAATTGGCTCCAATAAGCCCGTGTCTTTAACTGGATATCTTGACTTTGAAACAGGTATGGATCTCCGCTGAAGTAAATCGTCGATCTGCTTCACTACCGCCATGTCCGACAATTCTTCATCCGGGGTTATTTGTTCGACGATAGCCGAAACGTCGTTACACATATTTAAAATTGGAAGAGATGCCATCTTACTCGAATAACAAAATAGACAAAATAATGACTTGAAATTTTATGCAATCAATTTATATAGTCGATGTAGTAATGGTGGGGTTGCGAAAATCTTCTTCTCTTATCATTGGTGGTTGAATCAGGAGGTGGGGGAAAATCTTCTCGAATCCTAACGTCCAATCACGGTGCATGTGGATCCTTATCCACGGAGTAGAAGGGTTTCAAATCCTTTACGTGACATCTATGAATTCGTTTCGAAGAATCTTGAATTTCGACAATATTTGCGCTTACAATTTTTATAACGACGTAATCACCTGAATATCGAGGAGCTAATTTTGCCACGAAATTATCAATAGCAGACGACAGGTGACATTCCCTTTTCGCTACTTTTTCCCCAATTTCAGGTACCCAATTTTTACGACGTATATTATAATGCGTAAAAGCGCGTGCCAAATTCACACGGACGAGTTCCTGAGTATCTTTTAATTTTTCAACGGAAGGTGTATTTCGCGAAAACACCTTTTCTAAGCTACCTTTTAGCGAAAAAGGTGTCTGTGGCACTCTTTGAAAACTAAGATACGCCGGTGAAAATTTTGTTGAATCATGTTTCGCGGTATTAAACGCGAATTGTAATTCCGGTAACAAATTATCCTATGATTTTTGATTTTTCTCAACAAATTGCGCGATCATTGTTTTTACAGTTTTGTTAGTTCTTTCTACCGGGTTACATTGTGGAGAATACGGGGGAGTCCTTTGAAGCGTAATATTAAAATCTTGAACTAACTTTTCAAATTCTTTCGCTCGAAATTGAGAACCATTATCGGTTATTAAAATTCGCGGACAACCGAAACGAAGAATAACTCTATCTTTAAAACCTTGAATGATTGATTTAGTCTTCTGTTCTCTAAGGGGAAACAATTCGATCCATTTTGTAAATTTATCTTGTAAAACAAGTAAATATTTGTTTCCGCGAGAAGAACGGACTAATGGACCGACGATGTCCATTGACACATACTCCCATGGTTGGGTAGCATTACAGGTTCCCATTTTTCCAAAAGTCGCGTTTTGCGAAAATTTATACTCCTGGCATGAAACGCAATTCCGAACGTATCGAGAAATATCGCCATTCATACCTGGCCAGTAATAATTTTCGCAAATTCGGGCGATAGTTTTGGTAATTCCGAGATGTCCGGCGGTCGGAACGTCGTGGTTTTCATTCAATACTTTAGGTCGCAACGGTTCGGGTACGCATAATTTCCAGGCTTTACCTCTATCCGTGAAATTGAGACTGTGGTGCAAATGTCGATAAAGCAACCCGTCTTTCACAGAAAAGTCTGGGTATCGATCCGGATTTGCAATCGAAGCCTTTAATAAATTGCGATACCATTCACATTGATCGTTTTCGTCGATAATAAAAGCAGTTTCGTCTATAAAATCTTCGGACAGATTTTCATCCGCAATCGGATCGCGAGACAAGGCATCGGCGACGTTATTCGATTTACCTTTACGATATTTAATTGTAAAATCAAACTGCTGTAAATAAACACACCAACGGGCTATTCGAACAGCGGGACTAGTTAACGTTTGTAACCACCGAAGGGACGCATGATCGGTAATTACATAAAAAGAGTAGCCCTCGAGGTAATATCTCATTTTTTATATTCCCCAAACTATAGCCAAGCACTCTTTTTCTGTGACTGAATAATTCTGTTCGGCTTTATTGAGCGTACGACTCGCGTATGCGATAACGACTTCCTGACCGTTTTGAGTTTGAGGGAGGACGACTCCGAGGCCATATTGACTGGCGTCGGTCTGAAGACAAAAAGGAATTGAAAAATCAGGTACAGCGAGAACGGGTGCCGACGACAAACGTTCCTTTAATGTCTCGAATGCGTTATTTTGCTCGGATCCCCAATTCCAACGACTTTTTTTGTGGAGAAGACGCGTCAAAGGTTCAGTCAACGTAGAACAATCCGGGATAAAACGCCTGTACCAGGAGATGACTCCCATAAATCGCCTCAATTCGGTAATATTTTTCGGGACCGGAATCGATTTTACTTTTTCCGGATCGGTGTGAATACCCGTCGCGTCGACCATATGTCCGAGGTAATGAATTTTAGTTTTAAAAAATTCCGATTTTTCGGTATTCACCTTTAAATTAGCGTTTCGCAAATGTTTAAGAATACGCCTAACGTTCTCTAAGTGCTCATTAACGGCCTTACCGAGAACGATAACATCATCCAAATATACGAATGCCGAAACTCCTATTTCAGGCCCTAATACTTTCTCTATCGTACGTTGGAAAGTAGCTGATGCTGAATGCAAACCAAACGGCATGACCTTAAATTGGAATAAACCACGTCCGGGAATGATGAAAGCCGTAATCGGTCGGCTTTCCTCTGCTAGTGGGATATTCCAATAGCCATTTTTCAAATCAATTTTGGAAAAAAATGTTGAATCCCGTAATTTATCCAATGTCGAATTGATTTGAGGTATTGGATATGCATCTTTCTCCGATACGGCATTGATTTTTCTAAAATCGATACAGAAACGATAAGTTCCGTCTTTTCGCTTGACGATAACAATTGGAGAACACCAAGGACCGTTTGATGGCTCGATTACGTCTTTCGCGATCATATCGTCTGCTTCGTCGTTCATAATTTTAAGCATCGCGGGATTTCGTGGGGAATAAGATAAATTTATAGGGTCCGAATTTTTAAGTTTAATCGTATGTTTGCCGAATTTGGTAGGACCTTTAATTTCGTTGAATATCTTCAACACTTCGGAAATTTCCCTGAGCGCTTCGTTAATGTCCTTTTCGTCGGGGTTAATAAATTCGCCATCGGTCGACGCGATTTTATTATAATCGAATTAATAATTTACGGCGCTAAGAATATCAAGACCGATTAACATGTCTAAATCAAGACTCGGTAAAACACGAAAAGAGACATCTACAGTTTTTCCATTAAAGAAAATTTTAAGGTCGACTGTACCTAAAATTTGAGCGCGACTGACATCTGCAAACCGTGCCATCATATTTAAAGGTTTTAACTCCGCGAGGTTATGTTTACAAATTTCATTGTAAACTTTTTCACCAATAAATGAATGACTCGCACCCGTATCCAATAAAGCACAAAAAATTTTGCCTTCTATATTAATTGGTTCATAGATACGTGCGTTTTTTGGTACGTTAGCGATATTTACTTTGTCTGTTGTCCGGCTTTGAAAACTTGAGTCTCGGACAATGTCTCCGCCGGTTTTTCGTCGGTCCGCCGCGAGTTTTCCTGTTTACGACATTCACAATCTCGGAAATAAACGTCGTCCTTACCGCACCAAGAACAAAATTTTTTTGGTTGGCCTTTACATTGACCTCGACGATGACCGCGTCCTTTACATCGCCAACAATGATCTAGCCGATATAACTTTCTACACTTGCCACGTTTTCTTTTTGTCGTTTTGAGTGGTTTTGTTCGGATTGCGTAGGACCGGAAATTGATTGAGGGGGCGGTTTATATGCTTTTTCCGCGACGACGATCAGTTCATATTCGTTAGTTAAACGAATTAAATCCGAGACGTTCTGAATTTCATGTCTACGTATATAACGTCTGTATTCTGGTCGAAGATTTCTGTACAACCGCTCTATTTCACTTTCCCTACTCATGAGTCCGTATCTACGTATAAGAGTCTGCGACGCTGTGATAAAATCATGTGCGGTTTCTTTCTGTCCCTGCGTGCGATTTCTAATATCCTCCTCTAACTGACTATCAATATTAACCGGTAAAAAGAATTGTTTAATATCGTGAGCGAATTCGTCCCAAAATTGCCAATTTTTCCTATTATTACGGTACCATGAAATAGCCTTTCCTTTTAAGAGCATTGGAAGACAAGACACCAAATTATCCAGCGGGATTTCATAAGTGAAACTTAATTCCTCCACATGCTCCAAGAAATCAAGCAAATCACGTGTACCATCATATGTTACGCCCCATTTACGTACCTTTTCTGCAAGACTTTCGCGAGGTCTATCATCGTTATGAAATTCGTTATATACACGGTCAAGGTTGTCATCGTTAGGACGCGGTGTATTTCGGTGTATAGGTCTATCACGATCAAGTGGGTTTCTAGATTCGCGATTTTGATATAAATGGTCAATTACTTGTTGACGATTTAACCCACGGGGACGTTGTATTCTATTTTGATTATTTTGTTCTCCCGCAACTGGGTCGACGAATTCTAAATTGTTGCTTAAACGACTATTTGCTCTACTTAGCGCGTTTTCTTGTAATTGGTTACCAGGGATTAATAAGCGCGGATCTCTTTGCTGATTATCGAAATTATTCGCGGAAGGAGTTTGTCGACCATTTTGATTACTTCCGTCATTTAACAACTGATTATTGTTATTAATTAAATTCGTGTGAGAACTATGTTGAGACATATTATCCTCGTCTTCCTCGTTATTACCGACAGGAATTCCGTTAGGGTTATTTTCGGGATTGTTTTGTCTTTGATTATGACCGATTAAGTTACGCAATAGATTTCTTAATTGTTCGCGAGTTGCGTCCGGTGGATAAGGCACGTTTCTATCACGCAATTCGTTTTCTAACGTGACTTTATTCATTGTCCAAATCACGGAACGAGTAAGGTGAACCCTATCGTCTGCCATTTTTTTTTTTTAAATAAACAAAAATGAAATTTTTACATAAAAAGAATAAAATTATTTCGATTAGTCCCTGTTCGGGCGCCAGAAACTTGTAACGAATGTCAGATAAATTTTGTGGATTAGCTCGTCGGATCAGGGTTCGTATATATAAAATAAAAATTACAATCGTTAAAGTAACAAAAATGTGATCAATAAACGTAAAACTTTTTAAACACAGTAAAAGTAAAAAAAAGAACGGATTTCGTAATTCTACTACGCAAATTGACGCACGTAAAATTATTTAAATTAAAGCGATATTCACGACGCGACGAATGTGAATATGGTTACGACATAAAAAAAAGGAAACGCGACACGTATCAACGAAGGTAAAGAAAGGGTAAGAAACGGTAACGACGATGATGATCTGCTGCGATGACCAAAGAATGATGATGATCTACTACGATGACCAGGGAACGATGATGATCCACTACGATGACTCAGCTGCGAAGACCAGGAAATGAGAACTCTTACAGGCGAGAAATACTCGTATTTTAGTTGCCGTGAAATGCACGGAGGAAAGAGCGTAACACGACAACTTTTCTTTTGAACAAAAGATTCTTTACGTTAAAATACCTTTCTAATATATTGAGAAATGCTCAATATATTAGATACAAAAGAGGAATGCTCTTTTTGTCAGAGTAATGCTCTGACTGGAGAAATGCTCCCATCTGTCTCGAACCGAGACATCGAATAGAATGTGTTGTTCGTGGCCGGAGCGGCTTCTTTTATGCTCGAGCTGGGAATTTGCCTCGCACGCGATTGGCCCGCCAGTTGAGTGGAAGGGGTATACTGGATCTCTCCGATGGAGCCTGGTGGGGACAACTTCCAAGTCTGCGCGGAGCTATGTGAAATTCGATAGGTGACGCGCATCTTGGCCAAAATTTTCGACGGCGACAGAGGGTCCTTTCTTTACAGTCCGTGCGCTCGATATACTCAATTCGCTTTTCGTTTCGCTCCTAGTATTCAGTGACCTTCACCTGTCACTTTCGCGGTCGTTCTTCGTGATACAAATTTGTTCTTCCTTACAGTACGATGACGACGAAATCAAAGCATGTAGAGTAATACTTTAGATGTACAGAAAACCGAAAATCACAGAAACAAAATCAGAGCGGTTCATGTGCATAAATTATTTACAATTTTGTCATTTTTATAGGTAATTTTTATATTTATCGCATATTATTGAAAGCTTAACAAATACATTATGATAAAACAATGTGAATTTACTTATTTATTCAATGCATTATATTTTTGTTCAGAAAAATTACATTCATTTGTTTTATAACCTGATAAGTTTGTTTAGTTTACGATTAGTCACGAATCCTATAATGTTATTTTATTGCAGTTTGCATTCATGATTTAATTTCGGTATTAATATTGTTTTTTATGTAAATGAAAGTGAATTTTATACATGTCATATTTTGAGTGCATAAAATGTATCCATCTTTGTAACAGATTTTCAAGAGTGACAAATAAGTGTACAATGCTTTTGCAATTTAAAAACAACTTTAAAAAACAAATTTCAATAGAGGAGCAAGTATTCAAAAGTAGATAAATCCATATTTTGTTTTTTTGAGAAATTTAAAAAATTGCATTTATCACATAACCACCAAAATAAACTTTAAAGTACAAAAATTTTAATTAATTATTTCTATACGAATATTTTTTGAATTTAATACATTTTGTGTTTAATTAAAGTCTTTTATTATAGGGTTATTTAAAGACTTTGATTATTTTTTCTAATAAAAAAAATTGAAAATAATAATCACTTAGGTTAAATCCAGACGATTTTAAATTGAAAATTCTTTGTTAATAAAATTTTTTCATAAATTCAAGAATGACAAATCAATTTCTAAGGTCCTAAATTTGTTAAATCTGTATTTATCTCAATTTTTTGGAAAATGGATTTATCAACTTTTGAAAACTTGCTCCTCAATTAAAATTAGTTTTTTAAAGTTGTTTTTAAATTGCAAAAGCATTGTACACTTATTTGTCACTCTTGAAAATCTGTTACTCACATGTTAAAATTGTCGGTAAATCTGTCACATTTCTCTTTTATTTCTTTTTAAAAAATTATATATTTCTTAGTCCAAATCGGCTTTTTTACACTTCGAAACATTTATTTTATTTATTTATAATGCAAACTCGAATAAACAAACATCAATTTAAATGTTCAAGAGAAAAGAATTTACGGTAAGAAAAAAATAATTCACCGTAACGTTCCAATTCGGTTTTTTCGCCAAACCGAATTCAGCTTAAGTTACCACCAATTCTATTCGCTTACACCTAATTTTTTTTACTGGGAATATCAAAAAACTAAATGGAAGGATTTTTTTTATATCTGTATTCTGGGACTATTACAATTTTTCTTTAGTAGCCGATCCACTTCTGTAAGGAGAAGTGTTATACCCCTATACTATCGGACTGGACCTATTTTATGACCTCGCGTAAGGCAGACATTGCGGTAGACCTGAGTGGCGTTATCGGGCATAGCCATTGGTTAGTAAAGTATGGATTCACCACTTCCACTCACGGGAATTAAACGGTCACGTATGCAATAATAGAAAACAAATTTCCCTCAACCCATGGCTGTGTGGATAAAACGGGCGATCACTGATTGTGTCCTGTAAAGGGAACTGGAGTACTCCTACTCAACAGGCTTGGCCCGAGCTTGGACCTCAAGTAAGTAAATTACAGCGAGGGGCCTGTGTGGCGTTCTCAGGCTTAATGACAATATTATTTTATAACGCTTAATGAATTTTTCATCAAAATTATAAAATTTTTAAATATAAACATTTTTTAATTTATTTTGACATATTTCTCAGAATTTCACGATTACGAGCATATGTTGTTCCAAATATAAATGTTAATATTCAAAAATTTTTTAATTTTGGTACAATAAACCTATATGATGTGTTTTAAACCAATTTAACCCAAAGGTGCTGGCACCAAAGATTTTCTTTTTCATTTTGATTCTCCTGTATAAGCACATGGTTATAGCTCGGGCGCGGCTGGTAAGATGAGGGACACCACTTCCCCTTACAGGACAGTAATTAAACGATCATCGATAGTTTTGGTAATCTTCAACCACCTACAGATCTTGTGAAGTATTTCAGTGTTAATGTTATTAAATACAACCATAAGAGGTATCAAAATTTTAATACCTATGTGTGTGGTCATTTGTATTTAAAATTTCTTTCAAATAAACTTGAGGTAAAAACTATGTTTACTCTTTAAAAACAAAGGCACTGAAACATTGAGTTTAGTATAAATTAAACTAGCAATATGAACGATTCATTAACATTTACCTTATCAGGTAAATCATCCATATTGGAGACACAATATTTTCCACCAATTGATTTGTTACCTCATCAGAATTATGTACTTGGTCTGGTTGAATTTCTTACATTTAACTCTATCCCAAATGTAGATATTGGACACAATAAGTTTTATGTTGATCAAGAAGAAATAACTATACCAACTGGTAGTTATGAAATTGGTGATATACAGCGCTATTTACAAAGTGTTTTGAAACCCAAAGGAATTGAAATTTATATTAAACCAAATAACAATACTTTACGCAGTGAGATTTTTTGCAATCGTGACATTAATTTTCAAAAAGATGATTCCATAGCCCAATTATTAGGATTTGAACCTCAAATTCTTGAAGCTGATAAATATTTCCAATCTAACTTACCAGTGTCTGTTATAAAAGTTAATGCACTACGAGTTGAATGTAATATTACAACCGGTGCATATTTAAATAATCTAAAGGTTCACACGATTCATGAATTTTTTCCAACAGTTCCACCAGGATATAAAATAGTGGAAGTACCATCTCATGTCATTTACTTGCCTATCGCCGTCAAGAACATTGATCAAATTCAGTTACGAATTGTTGATCAGGACGGAAATCTTGTAAATTTTCAAAGTGAAACAATTACCATTAGATTGCATGTGAAAGCAGTATAAATGGGTATTGCCTTTAATCAAAAATTGGTTACGGATATAAGAAGCCAGAATGTGTAAAAAGAGTCAGTTACGACACCACAACCAAGAGGTTAACACCTCAAAACATTCAACTATTGAAGAATCGGGGTCTGAAAGTGATCGAGAAGAAGATAACAAGAGTTGTTTGTCTACAATGAATCTATTGATCACTATGAGGTTCATGCTCATCTACCATATGCCTCAGCAACATTTAATAACAGTGATGAAATAAGAATAGCTGTACAAAATCAGGATCATTGTGTTTTGACAAGCAAAAGTTTTTTACATATTCAAGGAAAATTACTAAAGGAAAACGGGACACCTGTTACACATACTAGGTTTATTAACAACGCTATCTGTCATCTGTTTGAAGAAGCTCGTTATGAACTTAACGCTATTGAAATTGATAAAAATAGAAATGTTGGTCTTACAAATCTCATGAAGAATTACGTTTCTGTTTATGGAGTTCAAAGTAAATTTTTAGAAAACGCTGGTTGGTTTTTCACCTGTAACGCAAACACTGTTCTTGTTGACAACCTTGGAAATTTTGATATTTCAATACCATTTAATATTCTATTTGGTTTTGCTGAGGACTACCAAAAAATTATTGTTAATGCAAGACATGAATTAATTTTAACCAGAGCAAGAAATGATATGAATGCGATTCTACAGACAAGTGAAGATCAAATTAGAGTATCCATTAATAAAATTGAATGGTTATTACCCAATGTTCGCTTGTCTGATTCACGTAAATTCAAATTATTAAAATACATTGAGAAAGACCCACTTATTCCAATAAGTTTTCGAACATGGGAACTCTATGAGTATCCTTTACTACCACAGACAGCCAATCACGTGTGGACAGTTAAGTCATCAACGCAGTTGAAAAAACCTCGTTTCATAATTTTAGGTTTTCAGACAAATCGAAAAAA